ACCAGCAAGAGATGCACAGTTGCAACAGACGCCATTGGCTTAGTACTTGGTTATTTCCAGTGAAAAATTATGCACAGCATACGCGCACTGTCCTTTAAAGTTTTTCATTTTGATGATACCAACACTTTACTTGGTAACTAAGTACAGCCATTGTAAGAATGCAGCAGAAATAAAATTCGTATTTCTAGAAAAAAATTAAATAATAGATTTACCACGTCTACAGAAAACTAGAAGTACTGAAGGAACTCATAACACATATGCCTTTACAAAAAGTAGAATTTTCACACAAACTGGTGTTTGAGATGCCGGCTAGCACGTGGTTTCAAATCATGCAAACTAAACATCACCTATCAGCTACTGCCATTATATGGAAGGTTTGCAGATGCTGGATTCTGGAATGTGCCTAGATTCTTGCCCAGATGAGACACAGATGATTTTTATTTCCCTTACCAGAAATGCCTCTCCTTCCAGCAGAGGGCAAGAGTCAAGAGGGAGAATGACATCATCAATCGATACCAGAAAAGAATTACGAAAGATTCCTGTGTAGGAGATACTAGTTGTTAGTGGGAGCAATAAGCCCCCAGGGCAACTAATTTCTATTTTCAACTGTTTTGGACAGCTTCAGACACTCCACTGACAGGTGCCTGGGTGGACAGATACTTGGGCAAATACTCCCCAGCCCACATCTTCTTGAGCTAAATCCCACATTGCATTCATGGTGCAACGTACGCAAAACTGATATGGTAAAAGTTAGTCAGCAACAGTATGAAAATGAGCCCCATGAAAGTACTGAGAAAAGTTTCCATATTTCCAGAGAGATTCCTATTCATCTTTGGAAGAACTCCATGTGATATGGCCCTGATGAGAAGGAGGGTTCAGGAGGGTGGATTGATTTTCAAGGATGGCCCATCCTCAGATACAGGAAAAAAAGCAAAGGTGGAAGGACATCTGCATGCACGGAAATGGAGCTCCTGACAAAACTCAAGAAACAAAAAGGAAGCACACAAGTGGTGGAAGCAGGGAAGAATATAGAGAAACTGTCTTAGCCCACACAGAGCTAGGAAAGTCAAAACTCATCTGGAGTTAAATCTGGTGAGGAAAAGGAAAAGCAAACCT